TCCCTGTGTTTCCAGTTCCTATCTGTACCAGTGTACATGCTCTGGTCTAGCCAGATTTGTAAGGTAGAATTGGGATCATGATAGTGGGGGGGAGGAAGCATTAAAGAACTAGAGGAAAGTTGTATGCTTCATCAGTGTTATACTGCACCCTGGCTGGCTCATCTCCTCCCTGTGACCCTTCTGTGAGGGGATGTTCAGTTGCCTACAGATGGGCTTTGGTTCTCTACTTGGCACTATCCCTCATTCTCAATGATATGATTTTTTGTTCATTGATGCCTGATACCTGATCCCTTCGACACCTCCTGATCACACAGGCTGGTGTGCTTCTTCCATGTGAACTTTGTTGCTTCTCAGCTAGATGGCCGCTTTTTAATCTTCAAGCCTTTAAGGCCCCAGATGCTATATCATTTGATAGCTGGGCACCATCAGCTTTCTTCACCACATTTGCTTATGTACCGGCTTTGTCTTCAGCAATCGTGTCGGAAAGGTGAGCATCATGGAATGCCAGGTTAATAGAACAAAGTGTTTTTGCATTGAGTAGAAGCCCAACGTCCATCTGCTACCTTAATACTAAACCTATAAATATATGTACATAGATATAAAATATTCTTTATTGATATGACTTTCTTTTCTCATGATTTTGATCCTTTTTAAAAAACCAAACTTTTTTTAACCTAACTTTTGGCTCAATTTTACATTCTTATTTTTTAGACTCTACACAATAATTCTGCTAAAGTTCTCAAGGTCTCAGGATGAGAATTGCAAAATGACCTCAAGGTTCAACAATATATAAACAGTGCATGAGATCTTGTTGCTTGCTCACTCTCAGCCACATCTGGTAATATCCTTGCAATCCTGATCCTTTACATTTTAAAAGAGGCATTCAAGTTTGTCAGAGCTTTTTATAATGTAAAGATCTGGTTGTGATCTTACAAAACTCCACAGGGCACCCCAGGGATATTATCAGTCCAAGACTACTATGTAAATTCATTTCTTAGGTTAGGAGCTCTTGGATCACACCATATAGGTGGCCAAATTTTAGACCCCAGAACTGTATGATAGAAGGCTAGAGAGTTCATATTCAAAGATGGAAATTTTCCGCAGGCTGAGACAAAGACCCATTTTCTTGGGCTGGTCCAGATTACCCCCCCTCTGACCTCACCCCCCCACCCTCTACCGCCCCAGGTCTAGCTTTCAATGAAGTTTATTTCTTGGGTCTTTGGCCTTCTTTCCAGGAAACTTTACAAAAACTTTTTGAACATAGTTTTAAATGTGTTTCTTATTCTAGCACCCAGATATATATTATAATTTATTTAACTTTTCCCTTCTTGTTCATTCATTCAATGATATTTTACTACCTAATACCTGCCAGGCACCATCTCCTCCCCTTCCTGCCGTGGACTCGGTTCTGACTCATAAAGACTATAGGACAAGGAGAACTGCCCCGGTGGGTAAATCTTTATAGGAAGCAGAAAGGCCCGTCTTTCTCCCATAAGGGATCTGATGCTGTGACAGCCAGCCCTGTGGTCAGCAGTCCTCCATGTAACCCACTAGGTCATCAGGGTGCCATATTGGAAAAGACAAATTCTTATCTTAATAGAATTTATATTCAAGTGTGTGAAGCATTTTAGGTATTATTAGACATATAGGTTTGTTTGCAATTTTTCCAATTATAAATAGGTTATAATGAGCACCCACAATAGGTAAATATTAATGATAAAACAAACAAACTCACTGCCATCCAGCCGATGCCAATTCTTTCCTTCTTAAACACACGTAGACATTTTTTATATCATAGCCGACTCATAGAGACCCTATAGGGCAGGGCAGAACTGCCCTTGAAGTTCCACGTCACGTGAGTAGAAATCCCCACTTTTCTCTCATGAAGTGGCTGCTGGTTTCAAACTGCTGACCTTTCAGTCAGCAGTCCAACACAGAACTACACCACCAACGCTGCCTATCTTGATAATGCAGCTACTTAATTCTTAATATGGGATTGCTGAAACATTTAGGTTTAATCATTTAATGGACCAAAGATAGAATAATTAGAGCTCAAGGTGCTCAAAACTCACCTGGTCTTAGAGATATAGGTTGACAGCAGTCTAGCGCGCCAACAAGGACTTCTCCTGTAAGCTATCCCACAATAAAGAGACATGGTCACGTCCTTAGAGGGAACATGAATAAAAAAATTTTTAAATAAGTCATAG